GGCTCCCCTGGCTGGCTGCTGGGGGAAGGGCAGAAGGGAGGAGTCCACTTGGGAATTGTCTTTTCCTTGGAAGCACGGATGGGCGGTGCAGTTTGGGTCCTGCCAGTGTTATTGCTGCACTGGGGGCTTTCTTGGCCTGAGCCCCCAGAGCTGGGGTGGGACCAGGGGCCCTGGTGCTCAGGAAGAAGATCCCCGTCCCCTCCTTTCCTCCCTCCCCGTCAGCACCACTGAGGGTCCTGGCAGCCTCACCAGCCCTAGAGGTCTCCACCTCATCCCCCCCAGTCCCCTCTCATCCTCCCTCCTCATCCTTCTTCCCTCCTCAAAATGATCCAAAGAAAGTTCTAGTTGAGCCCATGTTAGAGATTTCAGCACAGGGCAGGCTCCACTCACCTGGCTCAGACCCAACCTTCCAGCTTCCTGCTGCCTGGAAAGCCAGGCGGCACTTCTGCCCCGGGGATGGCAGTGCCAGGCCTTGGCCGCCTCCTGAGAACAGCCGAGGCCCAGCTCGGAGGAGGGGATGAGACGCCGGCTCAGGGGTCACTGGATGTACTCACCTGTGTGTACGCCTGTGTGTCTGCTTCATGCTGTGTGTCTACCCGCGCGTGTGCACGCGTGTGTGTGTGTACCACTGTGTCCCATGGAGCCTGCGTATGCATGTGTGTAAGGGTACAGTTGCGTATCTGTGTGGCAGTGTGCCCCGTAGTTTCTGACTGGTGTGTGTCTATGTGTGTGTGTTTTCTGTGCAGGCCTGTCCGTGTCCTTGTGTGTGTGTGCCTGTAAGTGTGAACACTTGTGGTAAGGTTTGCACGTTGAGTCCCCTGTTGCCCTTAGTTCCTCTTCTTTTTCTTCTTGTTTTTTGTGAACAGTTTGATTAAAACTCAGGAAGCAGCAAAACCTCCAAAACAACATGTGCGTGTGTCTGTGTGCGCACTGGCCGGAGCCCTCCCCTCTGCCCTGCTCACGGCCTCCTTGCCGGCCCCCCCATGCTTCCCTGGAGGAGCCCCCACCCCTTCTGTCTCCTCTTGGCTCTTCCTTCAGAAGGTTCATCCTAGAGGGCTCAGCCACCTCCCTGACCCGCACCCAGCCCGCTGCTGCTCCCTCCTCCTCGGGCCCCGGACTTGCGTGGCCCAAAAAGCCTCAGCCTCTGTTGGTCAGGATACCGTCCATCGGCCCTGTACAGATTGCAGACCCAGTGTCACTGAGCAGGGTCCAGGCCTCCCCCTGCCTGCGGCCTCCTCCCCTGCAGACCCACACCCATTGGTGCCCTGTCCAGGTGGGAACAGGCCAGTGGACAGGCTCCTTTGTACAGTTCTTACAATAAACCTCCCCCTGGTGCCTCTGACACGTGGGCTTCTTCCTCTGTGCCTCTGTGAGCGGACATCGCCGGAAGCTGAGGACAGCCAGAAGGGCTGAAGGGACCTGGAGCCAAGTTGGGGAGACGTGGAGAGCTGCAAGGGGTTGGAGAGTTGGGAGAAGGAGGGCCCCAGATCCCTTCTCTGGCTGTCTCCTGCCCCCCTCCAAAAGGAGGCTAGGGCTCCAGCCAAGAGGCTGGGGTCCCAGTGCCACCTTCCCCTAACCGTCAGCGCCATACGCCCTCTCCCCAACCATGACAGCACCCAGGAAATAGGTGTTGGGACCTGAACCCCAGCCCCTCCTCTCTGGAAGCCCCTTTCACTTCTCTGGCCCCAACCCCAAGGCCCTAAGGTGCCTGTGGGCACATGGCAGGCCCCTCCCTCTCCTCGGAGATACAATCCCCCCAGGATGTTGCCTCTGACCCCTGACCCCAGAGAACCCCAGGACCCCATGGATTTATGACAAAGAGTAATATAATGTAGTGAGCTCAGTCCACAATCCTCGTGGATAAAATAGAATTTTAGGTATAATTTTATTGTCTACAACTTGATTTCTGATAGCCAGCGCTGTATTCCTCCAAACTAGTAAATACTTAGTCCCTTTCAGGATTTCTGTGTCCCCTTTTCCTGGGTCCTGAGGTTACCTAGCACCCCTGGGGGCTGGGGAAGTGCACCCACAGGCCACCCCAACGTCCCTTAGCCATGTCCCTCAGCCATGTCCCTCAGCCATGTCCTTGAGGCCCCTTCCCACCCTGCGGTTCTCTTTGCCTGTGGGCGAGAGGGGTCCAGACCCCCGCAGGGTTCTCTGTGCCTTCAGCCAGGATGCTCACTCTCCTCCCTGGGGTGGGGAGGCCCCTTCTCCACACCTCTCCTGGGCCCTCTCTGGCCCCAAGGATGGGAGAAGTTGAGGGTGCCCCAGCCCACCCTTCCCCTGAGCCTTGAATGGTAGAAGACAAAAGGCAAAATCCTGGGTGGAAAACCTGGATAACATGGGCCACTATTTCAGAATCAGACCCTGCCCCCAGTTATCAGCGCTCCTCACACCCCCGAGGGTAGACTGTGCTTCCAGCACCTCACCAAGCCCTTCAGGTGCAGGGTTCCTTTCAAGGCTCACAACCACCCTGTGAAGAAGATATTATTACGGTTATTTCTATTTTACCCAAATGAGGAAACTTGGTCTCTGAGAGGTTGAGACTGGGTGTTGCGTAACTGGGTTGCTATTGGCACAGGAGGCAGGGAAATGCTGCTTTGTGAGACGCCATCCTTCCCACTGCAGGGCCTTCAGTGCCCCTGGCCCAGGAAGGCCAGTGATGCCCATTGGGGATTTGACCTTGGCAATGGCCCTCACATGTTTCCAAATGCTCTCGGGGTGCTGCAGGACCACCCTTCGTTGAGAACCACCGGGTAACTTGGCGGGGCTTTCTGGCTGGTATCCTGCAGGGTCAGGATTCAAACCTGCATCCTTCTGAGCCTGCAGGCTTCTGGTACCAACAAGCCGAGCAGGGTCAGTAAGTGAGGGCTGGGGGAGGGCAGAGGACAGAGCCCTTCTTTCCAGACTAGGGTTCTGCCCTCCCCAACCCTTCCCAGCATTGCTGGGGGTCCCTGCCCTCTTGTTTCCCCAAGCCCCCAGGCTCCTTGTCCCCTCTCCCTACACTGCCATCTCCTATTTTGATGCTGCCTTCCTGGAAAGGTGGGGTGGGAGCTGCCAGATACCTGGACGTACAGCCCAGGGCAGCCAGGGACAGAGGCGTGAGTGGGCTTATGAGGCCTCCTGTTCCAGGAAAGAAAAGGCGTCATGAGCGCCGGACAGAGCTCAGTACTGTTGTCACTGGGGAGGGAACAGCATGGCCCCAATTGTGACAAATAACCCTGCAGACGGTGGGGCCCCCACTGTCCCCACCCCCTCTTGAAAACAGATCCCTGCCTGGCATGAATGGGAATGAAGTCCAAAGGACACATCTGCATCCCTGCCCACGGGGGATGCGGGTAGCTTCATGTTTGGAGGATGCCAACTGCCCTCCCCAACCACCATGCCCCCTACAGTCACCCCGGGCCCCAGGACCAGATCCTGAGCAGGCCCTGCACCACATGGCCCGGGCAGCACACCCATGTGAGGAGGTACAGGCACACATACACATGCATGTCTCCTGCCTTCCCCAGTCATCCTCCCCACTTTGGGGACACCAGCCCCAAAGCTAACCAAGGCCTCCATCACCAGGAGCTACTTTGCTAAAGGAAGAAACCTCTGGATTTTTCCCTATTCCTTTGGGGGGGGGGGTCTCCTGCTACCCCTACCAGCCCCAGGGGCCTGTGGTCCCCAAGCTGACCTCAGGTGATGTTTATATTCCTGGGCTGTTTGTTCTGTGAACTGAACATCTGACACCTTTTCAAAGAAATGTTTTTCTTCATTTGAAACATCTGGAAACAGCAGGAACGTCTGGGACTGCTGGGAACAAGCTGTTCCTTGGATGAAAACTTAACCCTCCCGTCCCCACTTTGCATAGCTCCAGTCCTGGCTTGTGCCTCCCCAGGGGTGGCCCCCGCTGTGCCAGGTGGGGCCTATGCCCAGGACCTAGAGGGCAGCACCCAGACCTCTGCCTTCCTCACCACCGACCCTGGCATGGGAGGCAGGTCCACGTCTCCCTGAACCAAACAGAACTGCCAGCCGCACAGGCCGTTTGAAAACTGGAGGGTGGTGAGGAGAATGAGATGTAGGCAGAGGACACACAGGATTTGAGCATCTTCCCTCCCCTCCTGGGGATTGGAAGAAGAGAGAGTGAGGGGCCGAGAGAGTAAAGAGGCTGCCATAAAACATAAAACTCAAAAGTGGGCTCTGCTGTGGGGCTGAGGGGTACAAGCCTTATGCAGGTGGCTGTGCAGGTTGTGTATTGCACAAGGGCACCTCCTTCCTTGCCCCCAAGGGGCCAGGGCTGTGTCTGATCCAGAGGCAGGGGCACAACGTTGAGCTTCGATAAGCTCCTGGACACTATGGTCCCATCCACCATTCTGCTAATGGGTGAGATAAAGCCAGAGAGCCTTTTTGCTACAGAACCTGAAGGCTCCCCCACACTAGCATCCTGTCCTCCACCCAAGACCCCTAGAGCCGTGAATAGCAACACTGCAGTTCCCTGGGAGTCCCCGATTGCTGAGTGGTGGGTTTTCCCTAAGCCGTCTACACCTAAGTCTACCCCTCTTTGGCAGCTCCTAGCAAAGGAGGGGGAACTCTCACCAGGGCCTGGACCAAATCTTCTCCCAAGTGGCAGCCACTCTCAGCCTGTTCTTGTGCAAGAACCTCTGTGGCTCCCTTTCCTCCACAGGGTCAAATCTCTGTCAACCCCCAACACAGCCACCTGCACTTCAGCCAAAAGGCTGGGTGCTGGGCCCCTCTGGGTGCCTGGCCTGGGCCCATAGCTAGCCCCCAGCCCTCCTGCACCATCTTTCCTTGGAACCCCTCTTCTCGCAGGGTGCAAGCGGGTCCAGGGCAGAGGGGCTGCGCTCACATTCAACCACAGGACCCATGTGTATTTAGCTGAGTGCCTGTGAATCCAGACTGGGAAGGAGGCTGGCCAGCCCTAAGGCATGACTATGGGGATGGGTGGGGACACAGGGACGGAAGCACAGACCTCCCTTGGAAGACTCGGAGTTTCCAGCCTCCCAGGGGCATCCACCTTGGACCCCGGCTGTAGTGCCCAAGCAGGGGTGACCTTTGAGCCTTAGCAGCACAGCTGACAAGACAGCCGGCCCTCCCCCAGGGTCCCCGGAGAGCTGGTGCCTCCCCTGGGTCCCTATTTGCATGGCAGGAAGGGGCCTGGTGGGGAGGAGGCGGGGAGGAGACAGACTGCAGCCCGAGCAGTTACACGTTTTCCCCCCAGGAGCCTCCGTTGTCACCGGCTTGGGGTAGGGGACAGAGGGTGACCATGGCAGGGCCGGCGCTGTCTCCAGGGCTCAGCAACTGTCTGGTGCTGCTGCTGCTGCTGTTTTCAGGTACAGCCCCGCCGAGACAGGCCTGCTAGCTGTGCTGCTTTCCGCTGATTCTGTCTCCTGCTCTCTCCAGCCTCCTCCTTCTGTCTCTCACACTTTCTGCCTCCTGTCTCCCTCCGACAGCCCTGGGGACCGGGTCTGTGGGTCTCAGCCATGCTGATGGGCTCAGGGGTCTGTGGCCCCAAGGCCTCTCCCGCCTGGAGCGGGTCAGGCTGAGCTGGGTGTGAGGGGTTGGCGGCTCTGACCGCATAAGGGCTAGGCCTGGGAGGAAGAAGGGAGAAGAGTGTGGTTCACCCCCAGCCCTCGAGGGCACCGCATGGGGGAGACAGTGGAGAGGCTGCCCCCAACCAGCCCCTGGGGCAAGCATGTCCCAGAAATGGTGCCCTGGTCTGGAAGACAGTAGAGCCTTCCAGCTGCAACTTCCTTCCTGGCTCAAACTGGCGCCTGCTCAAGGTCAAAGGCAGAAACGGGGCTGGGAGGTGGGTCTTCTGGTGACCCCAGCCCACTCCAGAGCAGGGGTATGGAGGGCTAAGGGGTCTTGAAGCTGATGTCCGGGCAGGAGGAAGTGGGTCTGGGAATGAGAGGGCGAGCAGTGGTGGGGCAGCCAACTCTGAGTGACTGGCCCCGCCCATTTCCTCCCATCCAGCAGGTGAGACGGTGTTGGTGTCAGACAGAAAGGACCTGTACCGGGATCCCAAAGGTCAGCACCTCCCCCTGCCCCTTCTGGGGACAAGTATGTCTGTGTCCAATGCCAGTCACTGTCCCATGGGCTGTCCCACAGCTGCCCCTTGTGTCCTTGTCCCCCCTGGGTCTCCCACCCAGGACTCCCATCACCAGGCCTCCTTAGGGGCTGTCTCCCTCTGTAAGACCTGGCTCCAAGGTCCTTCCAACCTCCACTCCTCCAGTTGTCATCCTCATTAAACATAAGTTCTACAGTCCCAGCCACGAGGGGCTGGGCTAGCCCCAGGGTTGGAGGGAGAGCCAGAGGGAATCTTGCTGAGGACTGAAGCCCAGTCTGTCTGGCTGGGGAGTTGGGCTCAGCCCCAGCAGCAGCCCTTAGGGGCCCTGTCAGGCCGCAAGGGCTCAGGGGTTCCTAGGGGACCACTGCCTGGGAACGAGGCAGGAGGGAGGTTCTTGGAGCAGGTGGGCGGGGAGAGCATGGCAAGCTGAGAAAGAAGGTTTAGGAATAAAAAGAGGAAAGAGTCTATGCAGGAAGGAAGAGGGAGATGATGGAGGAGAGATAGGCCCGGGGGTGGGGTGTCCTCAATTGCCAGGCCGAGGATTTGTGGGGTGACCCTGAGGATTTCAGACTAGTGCAGGCAGCCTAGGGCAAGGAGAGATGAGGGCACCAGGCCAGGGGGGAGGCTGTCCTACGGGCCTGCATCGGGCTGCTGTAATGGGCATAGAAAGGAATCGGAAGGTTCCAGACCCCTTCTAAAGGAAAATCGAATAGGGAGGGTAGGCAGTCAGGAAGAGGCAGGTCTGGTGGTTTGGCCTGTGGCCTCTCATGTGGCTCGGCTCCCCTACACCTCTGCCTCATGACTGTCCCACACCCTGAGAAGCAAGGACAGACAAGGGGGCGGCTGAGCCAGGGTTAAGTGCTGCCCAGGGTGGGGGCCCACTGTTGGGCTGGCCATCAG